AATTACGTTATAGCATTTCCGTAATTGCATCATCTAGCATGAAGCTTCATAGCATTGCCAGAATTCCGTTATAACATTTCCGGAATTGCATCATCTAGCGTCAAGCTTCATAGCATTGCCGTAATTTCATTGTAGCATTTCTGAAATTGCATTATCTAGCTTCAAGCTTCATAGCATTGCTGCAATTACGTTATAGCATTTCCGAAATTACATTATCTAGCATGAAGCTTCATAGAATTTCTGAATTACGTCAAGAACCTTCTAGAAGTTTCTAAGCATTGGAAAAACATCAATAGACTTGATTATAAGTCAAATGCAATAATATGCATAAGTACCTGCACGTTTTGAATCTTCATTAGCCTATCAAACAAATTTCAGTCTATTTGACGGGTGCAGCGGGTTACTAACATTTAAAAACTATAGTCTAACGGTTTCACTATGAGAAACAGTGAGATGGCTTAAAACTTATTGTAGAAGACTAAATGCTACTAAAGAAAGGTTTTACATTACTTACCAAATAATGCTTCTAAAAGTTATGCTTGCCAGATGCACGTCTAAACAGCTTTCCAGTGTGTTTGTGAGCTCGTAAAAAAATACCGAGACTTTTATACTGAACCACCGACTCACGTGACCAAAGTCTATGAATATATTTGCGTATCATGAATAAATCATTGACGGATATGTTTCATTACATTAACTTTCCGGCCTTAGCAATTCCGTAATTGCGATGTGTGGTTTCTGTTATCATCTTACTAACGTAGCAATTCTGGTACTGTTATGTGACTTTTCTGGTATCATCTTACTACCTTAGCAATTCAGGTGTTGCTATGTTACTTTTCTGGTACCATCTTACTAACTTAGCACTTTAGGGATTGTTATGTGACTTTTCTGGTATCATCTTACTAACATAGCAGATTAGAAATTGTTATGTGCCTTTTCTGGTATCATCTCACTAACATAGCAATTCAGGTATTGCTATGTTGCTTTTCTGGTACTATCTTACTAACGTAGCAGATTAGGAATTGTTATGTGACTTTTCTGGTATCATCTTACTAACCTAGCAATGTAGGAATTGCTATGTGACTTTTCTGGTATCATCTTACTAACCTAGTAATTCAGGTATTGTTATGTGACTTTTCTGGTATCATCTTACTAACTTAGCAGATTAGGAATTGTTATGTGACTTTTCTGGTATCATCTTACTAATTTAGCAGATTAGGAATTGTTATGTGACTTTTCTGGTATCATTTTACTAACGTAGCAATTCTGGTACTGTTATGAGACTTTTCTGGTATCATCTTACTAACTTAGCAATTCTGGTACTGTTATGTGACTTTTCTGGTATCATCTTACTAACTTAGCAATTCAGATATTGCTATGTGACTTTTCTGGTAGCAGATTAGGAATTGTTATGTGGCTTCTCTGGTATCATCTTACTAACTTAGCAATGCCGTGATTGCACTGTGTGTTTTCTGGCTTCATTAGACTAACTTAGCAATTCCGGTTTTGTGTTATTAACTTAGCAATTCAGGACCTGCGACGTGTCTTTACTGGTTTTGTCTCATTAACTTAGCAATTCAACATTTGGTTTCATTACAGTAACTTAGCAACTTCATAACTATGTCATGTGTTTTCTGTTATCTTAAACATAGCAATTTCTG